AAAAAAAAAGAAAGAAAGAAGGAAGGAGGGGCAGTGGGGAAAGAGCTGGGCTTTTAAAAACCTGAGAAGCTAGTTCCTCTTATGGAAATGACATTGAGTCGGGGGGCGGGGCTAGCTGGACTGATAGCATATTTGTTTTCATAGAAACTGAGATGGTGTTAACCAGACTGTGTTTCTGGATTCCAGCAATAATATGACAAGCTGTGCACGATCTGAAACGTGTTGCTCTTGTTTACTGCTTGTTTAGCTCCAATGCTAAGTGAGGAGTCATTGTTGTATCGGGGATTTGTTCAGATGAGCTTTCTTATCCAGGCAGCAGCACATCTGAAGGAGCTCTGAAGTGGGTTTTTCTATGAGGATTTAGTTGGGGTTTTATCTGACATCAGCTATCAGCATCTGGGCTCACCTTTTTCTGTCCGTTGGGCTAATCTGCTGTGAGTAAACTGCTTCCTCCCAAAGGCAGGAGCGGGGCAGAGACAGTCAGACGTTTCACAATCGACTCTGGGTCGCTCTGCCCTTCACTCTTTCTGTTCTCAGTCTCACGGGATGCTGCCAAACGTAACGTTGCCAAACCTTTAAGGACGTCCAAAAAACCTGAAACCTGAATTTAAAAAAAGGAAAGCACAGAACAAGGCTTTTTTTGTTCCGTTCCAGTTTTGTTTTAAATTACTTTCATTCGTCTAAACTACACTTGAATTCTTCTGTTACCTAATTTCAGTCTGACTCTTTATGACAGAAAAGATAGGATTCTTTAATAAATCATTGTCCAGACTATGCAGATAGAAACTTAATGGAATAAGAAATGAGGCTTTGAACTTTTGACAGAAGTTGAATTTTGAACATTTGAATAATACTAAGTTATTATGATGTGGGGACACAAAGGGAAATGAGTTCTGAGCCATTTCAGACCCACATGCGAATGTTTTGTTGTTGTTTAAAGTTTTTTTGTAGGAAGCTCTGTGTGCTTTATGAGGGACACGCTGAGCTGAACTGACCTGAAGTTTTCCCGTTTGTTCTGCTGAAAAACATCATGTTTTAGTAAGTCCAGGCTCTATGGAGCTGGTCTTTTGATACGTGTCCCTCTTCCTATAAGACAGCTCCCCATCTCAAAGTGAATAAAGGATGAGATGCTATTTTTAAACTGAAAAGATTGTGGCAATTCCAGCTTTCTGATCTGAAC